TCAGGTTGTAACAAAGTAAATGAGCGGTGCATTACTGCAGTACAACCTGGTGCAGTGACTATCATCCATCCTAAAGTTTCTCTAAAGTAAATAACTTTACTTCAAGATTTCGCCATGTAAATCCGGTTCGGCTGTTAAAGGACTAACTACTTTGTTTCGTGAGTTGAATTTCTCAGCGAAAAATGGAACAGAAGCCCAACAGTTGTCCTATTGGATGATAGGCTACTATTAACATTCGCATTTCACGAACTCTTTAAAGGATTAAAGAGATAGTCGTTGCTGTTTTCATTGCCTCCACAGAAACTAGAATGCTTCGAGTCGAAAGATAAGGTTCCTATAATTGTAATAATTGTGAAAGTTTCTTAATTACAGACACGACGAAATCAATTAAATTTGCACAGAATTAGCAGTTGACATTGTGGCACGACTGGATAATCATTGCAACTTTGACGTCCTTGTTCAACAGGAGTACTCCTACCACTGAGGTATGATCCTTCCGCGTAACAAATAGTGCAATTTCAAAGTTCCTCTTGCACTGCAGCATGCTTTGATGTGAAAAGTCTTTAATCTTGTCAGAAATACCTGCTTTAAACACATCCAAACCAGAAGGAAATGAACAAGTACACTGTTTCATAATATATTCGCATATGCGTTAATCAAGTGAATTTCAAGCAGAAAGCAGGGCGTGACAGTCAACGTTGCTCATGAGTGACTAGGACTGTGACACTAGATGAATATGACACACCTCGGTGATAAAGTCATTCAGCGTAAATAATTTGAATGAAATGTTTTTAAATAAGCCTTGTTTGTTGACATGTTTCCGTACTTTATGGAACAGTTAAGTCGTAATTTCTAAACAAAGTAATGTTTGAATTCATGCAAGGAAAAGGACTGAATTAACTTGTGAACAAGTGGAAACATGCACATTCCTGGTATTACCTGATCGGTGCTTCTGGAATAAATAGCTTAATGCAATACCTCACTCAAGACAAAATACGGATCACATCTGAGAACTGAACGAAAACTATTACAGATAAGAGCACTGGCAAAGTATCCTGGAAAAATAGCGTTAAACACGGTTTAATATTATACAACGCAAAAGACAGTGTGGCCACTCGAGTGACTGGCTAATCCTGACGTTTCGGCTCGTAATTCACGACATTCTTCAAGGTAGGTGGCTGGTGGAATTGCGCAAATGTGGTTGGTTGTTCGCAGCAGTTGACGGTTTCCTAGCCAAAATGCAAGCTTTAAGTCTCTGCTGCTAGTCAAATAGTTGTTGGTCGACAGGAGCAGTAGGGCTCATCGAATCCGCGCAGAGATCATATCTTTTGTCACGGTTGATGTTTTTTGCAGGTTTGAATGATTACTGCCTCTTTTATTCACATATGTAGCCAGTATCTCTCTTTGATGATGTAACTACACCCATACCATCAGTGAGAATGTCACTACTGGCCGCATGCTGCACAAACCCGAATGTCTTCTCGTACTGTTCCTTGACTTTGCTAAGGGGCGAGGTCTTGTTTTCTTTCTAGGTGCTTCGCTATGACCTGTCGTTCACGCTTATCCGAGATCATTAATCTGCTCCAGCTTTATAGGCGAGTCTTTGTTTCCTGCATGACTGCCTTGACTAATTTCTCGAAAATGTGAAATATTTCTCGCAATTACACTGCAAGTTATAAACCCAACCTATGCACTTCTTATTCTCAGAATTATTAAATGACGCATTAAGTTTGTTAGAGCTTTTATATATAACGTTGCCATTAAATTTAGTGTCAAGTACTCTTAGTGAATTTTCACCAAAGACTTTACGACAGAGTAGAATTAAGCAAACTTTATTATTTACAGTGCTATTTGTGTCATCATTTCACTTCCAGTTGATACTATTAAAAAATGTTGCAAGAAAAGCCCACAAACACACTCTGCTTCTTTTATATTATTTCGACGATGATGTTTTACGTCTATGACTGTTAGCACTTACTAATAAAGTCGCATGATTAGGCTACTTCCCTCTGGAAAGCACAGCGTTGTTAAGCCCACAGCACAGGTCATACACGTCTGAGAATCAGCAAACCAAGCAGAAATATTCACCCTATCTTTTCATCTTCTTCATCTTCTAAGACTATTTGTGCTTTCAGTTGCAGAGGAAGACGAGTCAGGTAGTCATTCTAATGTTCCCTATCCAGTGTCAGAGTTAAAGCTCAAAAGAAGACAACCGGAGTCTAGAGCAGACTCCTTCCATATATTTGCACCAGATCAATCTTGGCCGTCCTCTTGGCCTTCTGCAGCTCGGTTTCGCAAGAAACAGTTGTTTAGACTCCCTTTGTAGAGGCATTCGCAACACATGCCCAAACCCTGCCAGCTGTGACTTCCCATTCTGAAGAAGCAACACTTGTAAACCAAGGTTCTTTCAGATTTCTGTGCTCCGAACAGTGTCGAGACTCATAAACCAGCAACTGATCTCAAAAAATTCATTTCAGTCGCTTGTACCAGGGGTGGAAGTTTTTCAGTCAGCGTCCACGACTCATTACCGTATGGAATCATCGGAATGATAATCGACTTGAACCCCGAGAGCTTAGTCTTCAGACTCAGCTCTGCTTTAGTCACAACGGTTCAGGTTAGTTCACGCAGAATGCCACTGGCTACTCCAATTCGCCGGTCGATCTCTTCCTCCAACTTTCCATCACTA